AAGTACAAACTTCAGAAAAGGGTATTAAAGAAAACACTCCCTCTATGCTATATGAAGCTCTGATTCCAAAAGTTGGTGACAATGTGCTTTCCTTCAATAACGTAGCCAAAGACAACATTGTACCTGAAGTCTTGAAGGTAAAACCCCTAAAAGAGGCAAAGATAGAGAATACTGTTTCTGTAGAGGACCTCCAAAGAAACAGACCATCTGTTGAGAGACTCTGCTTTAAACCCCCACCACACCCATCATTGAGTCCAGCCAGTCTTCGCAAATTCATGTCCAGAGCTTCTCAAGACTCAGACATATTAACTAATGACAAAACAGATGAAGATTTAAGTGGAGGCTCAACACCAACATCCTCCTTGTCCTGTGAGAGCAGTCCCCGTCTGAAGCGCAGAGACAGTCTGACACTCATACGCTCCGCCACGCCTGAGGAGCTGGCCTCCGGAGCTCGTCGCAAGATATTCATGCCAAAACCTAAAGAAGATGGAGAGGGAGCAGTGGTAGGTGCCTTGGATACTCTAAGCAAGAAGGAGAGCCCTTACATGTCACCCAGCCAGGCGCGCAGAGCAGCATTACTACAAGCTCCCACTGGACAAAATACCCCACCAATGGAGAGGCGCTCTCCTCTGCTGAGCCGCAGGAAGGCCACCTTGGAGGTGCCAAAAGTTGTGGAGCAGGCTCCCACTGTGGAGCCAGTCAGCACCAAACCAGAGGAGAAACCTGCTGAAAATAAGCTAGACCCTTTGAAAGGTAAAGAATACATCAGTGCTTACAGATGAAATTTGTGAATATGTTATTATGTGTATGTTTCCAATGAGAGCTGTATCAACTTGTAGGCACAATATGATATTACTGTATGTTAACACTATAACTTTTCATAATTTTACTTTATTTAAAGAAAATAGAAAAAATATTCTCAATTTGGCTCAATACTCAATTAGCAGTTCAATGCCTGTTCATTTGACTTTTTTGTCTGTTTTTTCCCAAAACATCGTAACACGAGTGGTTATGTCAAATAGTTAGTTTGTCAACACTTGAATCTAGTCTAAGTACTCGAGGAAGTGGAAACATTAGAAAGTCTCAACTCTCCAGTAGTAAATATTTACCTTGGGCCCCTCTCTCATGCACCACCAGCTCCGCAGGTCATCCGTAAGATCCGGGGGGAGCCGTTCCCGGATGCCTCCGGACACCTGAAGCTGTGGTGCCAGTTCTTCAACGTGCTCAGTGACTCCACCATCAAGTGGTACAGAGATGAGGAGGAAATTCTAGAAGTGAAGAGAAGGTAAATCCCCTTCTTACCTTACAACAACACTACTTGAACCACCTGTAACACAAATACACAGCAGTGTCATATGGTGCTTGAGTTGTTGTATTACTTACTGCTGCTATACTTTTGAGCATTTACAGCTGACATGACTGGTAAAAGTGGCCAGGTTCCAAAAGTGCGACAATAATGCGTCAAGGATGAACAGGATTAATTTTGGCCTCTGAGTTCGCCCATGGCTTTCTGTCATTCTCAAATTCTCACTGCAGAGGCGTCCAGCTCATGTGACTGAGAGCCCCACAGCTGTGGCACAGATGGGTGAATCTCTGGCTAGACACAGACGCTGTAACCTGACACAATATTTTTCCCATCTCCAGGGGACATTAAACGTCTATATGTGCTATGGGCTGCTGTGTCAGCACAGAGTGGCCATCTATCTCACAGTGACACCTTGTGGGTTGTTGTTGAATCTTTATCTAAAATGGTTTCATGATTATGTGTTTTTCCCCTTTTGCATCCTCAAGTGGAGGAGATGAAAGCCAAGTAGCACTGGCTGTTGTTTTAGCATCCAGCCATGACTGTGGGGTATATGGCTGTACGATCAATAATGAATATGGGACTGACACCACTGACTTCCTGCTCAGCGAGGACAGTAAGATACAGTATTCCCTAACATTCTTTAGTGTGAAATCAATTTCTAATACGATATAAAAAGTGATTTTATGATTCATTCTGTATTTATTTGTTTACAGTTCTGTCTGAGATACTACTAAAAGATGACTTGGAAGGTACATTCTTTAGTTATAACATATCAGCCAACGTTTTTCTGTTAATTTTGCTCAATGTAAATATGTGTTTCTGTTTTCCTTTAGTTGGAGAGGAAATCGAGATGACCCCGCTGCTGTTCAGCAAAGGCCTGGGGGACTGTGGCAGCTGGGGTGAAAAATATTTTGGCCGCATTATGACCGAGACTGCGCAGATTGGAGAGGGCTGCGCTCACAAGGCCAGCAAAGTGAAGGTCATTTATGGCCTGGATCCCGTCTTTGAGTCTGGAAGCGCATGCATCATCAAAGTTCGAAGCCCCATCGCCTATGGGAACACACAGGAGAGCAACCTGCCAGACAAAAATCTACAGATAACTAAGCAAGTGAGTTGTGGAGTTTTGTGTAAATTGCTTCCAATAATTCCTGGTGATTAGATTTTCATGACATTTATCTGCTTTATTCAATTATTTGTGTTGCTAGGAATGCAAAGTCCAAAACATGATGCGAGAATACTGTAAAATCTTTGCGGCTGAAGCAAGACTTATTGAGAACTTTGGCTTTTCACTAGAGTAAGTACCACACTTATTATACAGTAACTCTGATAATAAATTCCTATCAAAATCTAAAACACTGCTTGTGATGAACCCGCTTTTTGTGTTTCCCACAGAGTGATTCCTCAGTATCTGATGTACCGGCCTGCAAACTCTGTGCCATATGCCACATTGGAGGCTGACCTTAAAGGTGAATTCCTCAAGTACTGCAGGATGGATCCTAAAGGCAGGCTGATAACACAAACCGGCTCTGAGGTGGAGCAGAAATGCAGCGCCTTCCAGCATTGGATCCATCAGTGGACACACGGCAATTTGCTGGTTACTCGTCTGGAGGGTAAGGCCCACATCATGCTTACAAGTGCAATCATTTGTCTATTTATTTAAATAACAATAATAATAATAATCTTCTGTGATTTATATTTGCAGGTGTTGAAACAAAGATAACAAATGTTGGAGTTGTGACCAAGTCAAAAGGGTTTGTATCTACATCAGGGCATGCACATGTAAATGTAGCTTTCTATCAGAATAGCTGTAATAAAAACATTTCCCCTTTATTTCAGATACCAAGGACTAACAGAGCAGGGCTCTCCCGAGGTGTTCGAACAGTTCCTGACACACCATCAGTGCAACTACTACTGTGGACTTCTCGGCTTGCGCTCACTGAAGTCTATTGACAGTCAACCCACCAAGATAAAGGGCTCCAGGAGCCCCCTGCTCAACCGCAAGCTGGGCTCTAACAGCCCACAGCTGCAGAGGAAAGGACAAAGCCCTCAGACGTCCCGAAAGGCTAGCCCAAAGGTGACTAGAAGAGTCCAGGAGACCGAGGATAATAAATCAGGCGCAAAGCCCAAGCCTGCAGTAACTGTTGATGTTCTTGAAGTGAGGTAGGAAGATGTGCCTCTTCTGTGTCAAGCAAGATTTTATTGTTTTAAATGGTTCGGTATTATATTTTCTTTCCAGTAACGAAAAACCAGCAAGGACAAGGAAAGAGTGAGACTAAAAAGGAGTGTTTTGTTGGCCTGACTTGTCATTGAGATTGCTGTGAATTTCTCAGCTTTCATTACAATTATATTACATCTATCCTTCAGCTACTGGCTGTAGTTGAAAGGTTGGTAAGAATGTCAACAGCTAAAGCATTGTATTAACTTTCACAGAAGCAAAAGAAACACTCGGTCAGAGTAGAGATGACGTTAGCTATTGGATAGTTTGAAACACTTGCCTCAGCTCTACGAGTGGACAAATAATTCTCACAGTAATAATACAAAAAACGTGATCATTGACAAATTAACCTGACATACCCATAAGAGATGATGGTGTGATGTAGAGAACTATGGATAATAAAATCAACGCCACAGAGCGGGTTGAGGGTATCCTATTCATATTAATGCTGCATTTTCCTCTGTGATGTACAGTATGAGCGTAGGATATAACATTTATTTTAGAGACTTTATTTTTGGCTTGCATTAGTAATGCCTATGCAGCATTTTTTACACAGCAAAGTTGAGCTCATGCTGTGAAATGACACCTTTTTGAGGTCAAATATTTGTGTGTGCACTTTGTCTTTGGCATAACTTTTTTTGTAGTTTTTGAATACTTTTTATCTGTGTCCTCTTTGTCAATTTCAGTTCATTTCAATATATGCTGGTGAATGCAAAGCAATGAGGAGTAAGGGGCTTACCAGTCAACTCTTTAACTATGGTATGCTCATGTTCATTGACATGAAAACACACGGGTGTGTTCCCAGCAATGAGGAAAGCTGCTGAATGAGTTTCACAGAGTAATTTGGATCCGACCTATGGACTGTGGGATAAAAGCACACTGAACAAAAAGAGCAGGCTCAGCACTTTCAGAAGCCTATTAATCACTAAGTAAGGCTCCCTGAATGAAGTCTGTCAAGTTTTACAGCAACTGACAACCACCTTCCACTGAACAAGAGCTGTGAGTATTTATGGTGCAGGTATTCAAAGTTAAATAGTAACTGTAGTCACTTGCCTTTTACGAATAATAAAGACCTGACATGAAATCCTTAGGAATTCCTAAAAAAGGATTATCGCTCAATGATCAATGAGAGTTTTCAAAGCTGCCGTTACTTAACATCTCTGTAATTACATGATTCTTTAATAAAAGAGGGTGAAATAAAGTTGAAACATCGACCAGTGGATGATGGGGAAATCACTGTAATGTTAAGGTGTGGTGTCGTGTTAAACAAACTGTACTGTGTTTGTGTACATAAAGTCAAAGGACTGATTATCTGAAGAGTGATTGAGTAATTGAATGAGTGATTAAGAAGAATAAGTGTGTGTTTACCACGTGTGCTTTTTGTCATGTCAAATCATGTCAGCAAATGTTTTTTTTAAATAAAAATGTTTAAAATGAAAAACCTTGTGACATTATTTAATCACTTAATTTAATTTTAAATATTCACACTTATCAAACTGTTGATGCCTGAATATTTCACAAGGTATATTTCTTAAGGTGTGTCCTTTAAATCCTTTAAAAAAAAATTGCATAAAATTACAAAACTATACATGAAAGATACATTCATCTTGTGTCAGATTTGTGTGATACAAATATACAACAGAGGTAGAGAAGACCCGTAAATTAACAACACTGATGTGTCTTTCCTCTTCTAGTAACACACTGGCATAGGGAGGCCAAAGTACTGACAGCATTTAGAGAAAAACACAGTGGTGTTTGCTACTGTGTTCCACGGTTCTTCAAATGAGATGGTCCCGTTGTTAACAGTGCTGAAAGAAAAACAAATTGTAGATGTTAGTCCAAATGTAGATATTGACAGATATTACTTAAAGTGGACCTATCATGCTATATTTGAATAATATAGTGTAGGACCATACCTATATAAGGCATATTTATACCTTTTTTTTTTTTTAAATACCAAACAGATCATGCATTTTAGCCATGCCTCATTTTGCTCAATTTGACAATTTCTAGCTCTGTTTTTGCAAGGGCTGATTCTGTGAGAACAGCACCATCTACTGGCCTGGCATATGTACTACAGCGTCTCCAGCGCTTTCGAACGGCAATGGCCGTGGCTGTCTCCTCCTGATTGGTGGAGTTGGCCCAATAGCCGTAGCGCCACTGTCCTGACGTCAGGACAGTGTTCAAATCTGGATCAGTTTTTATCAGATCCGTTGCAGCCCCTTTTTTAGAGATTTGGGTATGGAGGAAAATAGAGAGGGTTGTGTTTTCTGACACTTGGTGAGTTCCCTGGAACACCGGGGACACATATTCATGTATAAAAGACGTACAAAAGTGCATTTCGCATGATAGGTCCCCTTTAACTCAATTGATCACAGCTATACAAATGCACATTTTAAAATCTATTGAACCTGTGTGGGCCTGATGTTTTTCCTTTACATTTTGTAGTCATTCCTTCTAATAAAAATGTACTTACCTTTGAAAAAGGTCTTGGCAGCAAGTTTGTATATTTACATCGGTGGCATTGAAAGCTTCGAACAGCGTCACGCAGTCCACTGGGGTAACAACGAGGATCCCTAAGAAATAAAGTGAAAAAGCTTCTCAGTTACAGCACAACATGAAACTGTACTCCCTGTTCAATTCAATCATCTCACCTGCAACACAGGCATTGATGAGAGATACACTAGTTGCAGTGAGCATAGCTCTCAACACCATAGAGGAGATGTCACCTCTTCTGTCAGGGCATATTGAGGCTTTGAGAAAAGAAAAATCATTATTGAGAAATTATCCTGTGGCAGCGAAAAACAATGACGATGGGGTGAGAAAATACTCACACAGGCCTCCAATCATAATACCCAGCGAGCTGAAGTTGGCAAAACCACAAAGAGAATAAGTGCTGATTATTTCTGACCGGACCTGAAACAAAACAAAAAATCATGTAATTTTATTTTGCCTTTCCTAAAATAATTTCCCTATAATTTGTTTCTGTGTTAAGCACACCTATACGAACTCCAATTTAGAAAATGTACTCACAGATAACCATTGTAATTCTCCTCCCACAAATTGTTCAAGTCCATTGAGTCTGTTGGTCTTCAGTGCAGATAGTGTCTGATAAGCCACAAACTCATTGAGGAAGAGCTTTGTCCCAATGAGTTTAGCCACAGTGAAACTCTCCTTATACGGTATTCCTATCATAAAAGCCACCGGCATGAATACATAGGAGCAAACCATCTATGAGCACAGGGAGACAAATGGTTATTTATTTGGATATTGTAAAACTCCGTAGTTAATCACAGGAAAACTGAACAAAATCTGTGTAACGTCAGCATAAATAAATGCATGTCAGTCCAACAATTTAATAAATGATACTGTAAATAAGAAATCACATGATCAAAACAAATATTAATTTAAACGTTTCTTTATATTACCTCAATACTTTTTTAATTTACTACGATGTTCATTTTTTTCTCTTTTTCCTGCTCTTTTTCTAATCTTTTTTCATAGCCAGCTATTTCTGAATACCTTTAACACATTCAGATTTGTTTAAAAAAAACATTATCAAAATGTCAAATTTAAGTTTTCTGTCTTGTGCTAAAACATACCTCAAATGTGATATCAGGATGTCCCAGCATACCGCCAAACCAACTCAATGCTTTATTTATGAACCCGAGTAAGGCTAGGAAGGCTATCAAATTTGCAGCAATGTTTGCAACAAGACCTATTGAAGCAGACGCTCCACTGCTAGCAGCCTCCAAGATGTTCTTTTCATCACTGTAGAGTTAACAATTGCATTTTTTATTATTCACAAAAATAGAAAAATCATGAAAACGTACGAGAATTTAAGGGACATATATACACACCCAGAAGACACTTTAATACTCTTCTCTGACTTTAAGGCACTCTCCTCTGTCTCTGGGTAAGAAAGTTTGGAGATGCCCAAAGCACAAGGAGCAGCCATTACAGAGGCTGAAAGCAAGGAAGACGGATCAATCTGCAAAATAAAAGGAAATGTAATTTAATTCAGGTGTTAGACTTTAGAAGGAGTTCCTGCATTAATAAGAAACAAATACAGTGTTTGGTATTCTGCAATTGAAGTAAACAGAACCACTGTCAAACATAAAAAAAGTCTAAATTGCTTTTTTATTAAGGATCAACATCAGTGTTATACTCAATATCTAAATGCAGAGCATTTGCAGATTTTTACAGAGAAAGAGCATTATGAGGTACACAAATGCAAAACTGATCATGTTAGTCAAACCTATCCCTCGCCCAACCATTATCTTTTCCTGTTTTAATGTTGTTGATGTTGATTTGCTCAACAAATATGGATTGCTGAGACAAGGGAGTGGCTTGAATATGACCTGCTGGCACCTTGCTTCATGTCATCCTCTTTTTTATGTTATTGCCCAGGAGTCCATTGTTTCATAATGTCAACAGGTTTCTCTGCTATCTATCAATTAATGAATAAGTCATCTGATGCATAGCAGCTTTTTGATGTTTTTTGGGTGCTTATCAGCAGAACTACTGCAAATGATTAACTTTTCTTTGTTGTTCAGTAACCTTCAAAACCTGTTTTTGTAGATCTTCTTCCGGGACACTCTAGATGGCAGTAACATGAATCACTGCAAATTGCGGTAATCAACCCCCTAGTTCTAACTGGTTTATCTTCAGCTATTAGACTTTATTGGCTCCACTTAAAAAAGTAAATATTTTTGTGGTATGTCCCAAGTTTTTGATCCTGGGCCCCATTAGTTTCTGATCTGAGCCTTGTCTAAAGCCTTGCACATTTTTCAGAAATAGCTGCTCTGTAATAGTTCACAAAGCATAACATTGACTGCTAGCTTGCTTACTAAAGGATCTCTTAGTAACTTATTAGGTGAATTGGCAGAGAATCTCAAATGTCTTCTCCTTGGAGAAGCACTTGTTGGCCAAGTACTATTTGGCCATTGGCCATTTTAAACTTTAAACCTCTTAGTGTTAGTTTAAGTTTAAACTGGATCACATTTGTAGTTTAATTTATCTACTGTATTAAAAGAGAGGTATAAATGTTTAATGTTTTTTCTGATATTCTCATCATGAACTGTTCACGAAACCCGCTTTTACCTATGAGCCTTTACATTGATTTACTCCCATACAAAAGATTGTTATTCATGTAGTATTCATATAGATATTTTTTCTTAATCATTATTTGTGTATTAACCCTGTATGCAATGGCAATTAAAATGTAATCTCACCCCAAATGAGATGAATGCCCCCATGACACTGCCTGCAATGGTGGCAAATCCACCAGTCATAACAGCATGGATCTCAGATTTGGTCATGTCCTTCAAATAAGGGCGGATCAGCAGAGGAGCTTCAGTCTAAAGCACAAAAAAGGTAGAGCAAAAGTAAACAACAGAGTAACTGTAGGATGCAGTTAATAATATTTTTTATTAAGTCATGAAACTTGAATCCCAGCTTTCTATGATGTCAAAACCAAACGTAATCAGTCAAATGTGAGAGATATAAGTGCAAAGAAATCAAGTGTTGCTCAGAGTACCTGCCCAACAAATATATTGCCCGCCACACTCAAGGTCTCTGTGGGAGAGGTTCCCATCGTTATCTGCATAACCCATGAGATCTGCATGGACAAAAACACATGGCTCTCGTTCATAATATGACTGCAGGCTTAAGTTATACAACCCCAGACTTTTGCTGCCGTGAGCAATACGTTTAATCTTTCTTTACCTTAAAAATGAGCCACTGCATTATTCCCAAATAGTAAAGGATTGACATCACGCTGCTGAAGAACACAACAATGGGCAAAGCCTGAGGAAGAAATCACCAAATTAAATTATAACATGTTCGATTTTAATAAATTGAATATTGGTTTAGTGCCAATATATAACTCAATGTCACCACTTACTTGAAAGGCAAAGATGCTATCGATCAGATCCCCAAAGACAAAACGTGACCCTTCTTTGGTATAGTCAAGGAATATCTGTAAACATGACAAAGAAAACATGGGTTGCATTATTTCAAATGATTGTTTATTTTCTCAATCCTTTCATCCACTCATAATTATGATTTGGTAATAGGAGGTCTTTGAACTAATTGGGCAACCACACATTAAAAAGTGACATGCCTGTCTCACATTGTGCTGATTTCACCCTTAGATGACCCAAAATGAGGCTGAATAGCACCATAAAGTAGCTCTAAAGATAAGCATATACATTACATTACATCACATTGCATTTAGCTGACGCTTTTATCCAAAGCGACTTACAATAAGTGCATTCGACCAAGAAGATACAAACTTGAATATACGATCCACTCAGTAAAAGAATAGTGTTTCTTGGTGGATAAGTAACAATGTAAATACATGCAAAGACTGATGGGCAAACCAGGAGTGATTTCACAGTAACACTACTCACTTATGAGTTGAAAATAAACGTTTTAGGATGTTAGTCAAATGTATGGTATTTGTATTTGACATTTCTGATATAATACTTGAGAAAGCAAGATAGGACTATAAACCATGATGAAGCCACACACATCTACAAAGGTTTAAGGCTTTATATACCTGCACTTGATTTCCAAGCCATTGGAACGCTATGTTCCCAGGCGTTGTTCTTATTACAAAAAGGCCAATGCAGAACTGCAACCCGAGACCCCAAAACACAGGCCTCCATGACACCTAAAATATTTTCAAAAAGGAAATGGTTAGTGACTATATCAGGGAGTTGCCAGAAAACCTTATTATTATTATTATTATCGCAAGAAAGCACTTCTGCTAAACCCTAAGATGATATGGGCACAAGGCCAATTGATATCAAATGTCTCAGCAAAACAGACAGAGATGACTTGAGCAATAACTCCAGAGCATGTTTCGAAACAGTTCTCATCACAGTGACCATGCATCCTTGAGCATAAATTCAGTGGTTGACTCAATGCAGAACTCACCGCTGTCCTGTATGCTGACAAGAGATACAGAAGCACGACGATCAGACACAGACCTCCTAACGGGATTAGCTCCTCAGGGCACTCCCACTTGTCAAAGGCGAGAAACAGAACAAGCAGGGCCACAACTGCTAAGATGAAGACCCTATAAACACAATAAAACACACCTTCCCTCATAAACAGGTTTCATAATGTGTAGCTTCTTCAACTGAAAACAAGACGTCCACTCACCATTTTAGCCATTTCAAGTTAGATTTGAAGTATTTTACAGCGGGGCTGAAACACTTAACGATGCTTTCTCCTTTGTACTGCTTCAGAAGTTCATATGATTTAACGACAATAGCTAAACTGGTGAGGACTACAAGAGCGATGGCCCTCTGGAAATCCAATAGGCAGGCTGCGATGAAGTACGCCACATAACCTGCAGGACAGAAAAGAGCATTTACAAAACAAAGTTTTATATATATTTACTGATTGCACATTTTTAAGACAAATGAATAGACTTTCAGTATTACCTGCTCCAAGTATGCCCAGCACGACATATTTGAAGTTTTGGGAATGTGCCTTGATGTAATCCTCTGTGGCATTTAACGGCTTGGAAACTTGGCTGAAGTTCAGGACCAATGTACACAAAACATATTTCTGTTTTAAACAGTATTTTCTTGGGTAAAAAAAAAAAGGTTTTTCACATGATCATAGATTCAATACCTATTAATAGATATTTGCCCAAAAATTGAGAATTGATAATAATGTTACAGTTTACAATAGCACAGAAAGAAGCTGCAGATCTTTGGTTGAAAGTATATTAATTATGCACATATACTAGGGCTGTGCAATTAATCGTATTTTAATCGCAATTACGATTTTGGCCTGCCACAATTACTAAAACAACATAATCGGAAAAAAACAATTATTTTGCTTTGCTAGGCTGTGACTGCACTGCAACATATTTGATCTAATACATTTTGGTCTAATGTATTTGTATTTATCATATTTATATATGTTTAGTAGCTTGTGGAAGTGCGCTCCAAAATATTTGTTGATCTTGTTTATTGGTATTTATTATTTTGATATTATTTATTTAAATGTAGATATAAATGTATCATTTATTTAATTTATTTTTGTATTGGTTTTTCAGTTGAATTATACGTTCAGGGTAATCAACAGTTAAAAAGATACTGTTCAAATTATTATTTGTATTTGTTTTAAAGTTCAATAAATGGATGTTTTCAAAGTCAATGAATAATCGTATTTAATAATCGTGATATCAATTATTGACCCAAATAATCGTGATTATGATTTTTGCCATAATCGCACAGCCCTAACATATACAGTACTGTACATTTACATATAGTATAATCAAAATTAACATTGCATAAGCAGTCAACCTGCAGGGATAATTGCACCCAGGAAAAAACAATTGTAACTCAAAAATATACAAAATACAATTACTTGAAGTGACATACCTTAAGTATGATCCCAATCTCTCTTTAGTCCCTTTGGTCTGGCTATTGGAGCCGTTAGTATCAGTAATGCCATCCTGAGAAAATAAAGGAATATTTTTTATGATCATGTTGTTTCATTATCTTTAAAGAAAGGAAATGTGATACATACTTCGAAAGCCAGGTTGTCCACGCCATTTCCTTTAGCGTAGGTTATGTTTTGGCACTGGACACCGTCAGTTTCCGCTGAAAAAAACAAAGAATCTTTGTTCAAGCTCATGCAGCAGCCTTTGGTAGAGCAGCTTAAACTTTACCAGCCAGCAATGCCAGACAAGTAAAAAACTTTGTTTCCAAATTACACTGTGAAAAATAAACTTAAAATAAACTCCACATAGTCTTTGAAGCTTAATGGTAAGCAAAAATAACTGTTCAGATCTGCAAAACAAGGAAGGAAAAGCTGAGCTAATGGCTTACTCATTGTGCTTCGTCCTCAACCTGGCAGTGAAATGCTGTGCTGTGAAACACACTGCGGGAAAACAGTCTGACCTCTATGAAACATGTCATCACTAATTAACAGACATGGTATGTACTAATGTGATCTTCTCAGGAATTGCAGAATAAGAGTGATAATTAAATAAATATAAATATAAATTATGGAATTGTTGATGATAAGATGATGATTATATTCTTTGACCTTAAGAAACCAATATGTCATCATAAAAGTAAATACGAAGTGGATTAATCAGGAATGAGTTCATGTGTTAGAGGATATACTCCAACCATGCTTTATGTTAGTCATAAAAAGCCATTGTGCTCCTATTTATCAAGAATACATTTCTCGGAAGCATGTGAACCAACAATATATGTGTCGTAACTCAAAAACACATTTCTTTCTTTTCTAGTTTTACTGAGCTATGTGAAATGCAATTTACTTTGTGTGAACAAAAACCTTAATCATGTTGAGAAATAAATATGTAGGTAATGGTGAATACAATAGTTATTCCTTAGATTAAATTCAAGATGCCATGGTGCAGACAGACAGACAGACAGACAGACAGACAGACAGACAGACAGACAGACAGACAGACAGACAGACAGACATAACGATATAAAATAATACAAATGTTGAGTTATAACTGCTGTTAAGTCTGTAGTAAGAAGAAACCCTTTTTATGAGATTATAATAGAAAGAAGTACTTATCCTCTAATGTGTCAGAGCACACATCCTCTAAGGAAATAGCTCAAAGATAAGTATGTGAACTTTGACTGTACTATGTAACTCTACAGAGTTAAATTCTACTGTATGTATACTGCAATACTCTCATAATACTTTTGCAATATCAAATGAACTTTTTTTTATGATAGAATACATTTAGTTTAAATGTATGTTTTGAAGATTTAGTATACTTGATTTCACTGCTAAATCAGATTGTCTCTAAATCAGTTATAGCTGTTATCTGGACCATTACATTATATTGCAGTGAAAGTTGCACTTTACTTTCAGGTGGATGATTCATGATTGGATGTAATGGCAGCTATTTGTTCCACTCGCTGCTGTTCAACTATGATGCCACACACAAAAAAGACTATCTGATTCTTCATAAAATGTTCTTTATCCCTGCTTCATAACACTCAATGAGGGCACAGTCTGTCTGGATGGGTATAATATACAATTATTCTAGTTAAAAAGCACAAGATGTTTTTGTGTTCACTAGGTTATCAGAAAGCCTGGCAGACCCTGACATTTATTAGCAGAGGTTAATGACCTAATGACAGATTGTGTGGCACAACATGAAATGCCAGTTGGTTCATTAATAACCCATAAAATGTGTTATGGACACTATCCCAACAGTCAATAAAGGTGAAAGATAAAGACGATTTATATTTGTCAACGCTGTGAATGAGAAAACAGTTGTTGAAAGTATAACCCTCGATTTACCCATGTAGCTTATGTTTGTTTCATCCCTTAAATACTATACCTTTTTGTAACCACGGACTATACAATTTAATGATATGTAGCCTACTGTACATATATGACCACTCACATCATGGAAAACTGGCTATATTGTACCAGAATCATTGCTAATCGTTCTACATACAATTGTACTTAGTATCAATACTAGTTGCCAGGAAAACCTTGGTGTATATTAAAAACAAAATAAACAATAACTTTCTTTGTGTTGCCATATGAATTACAGCATATCCATGCGGCTAACAAGAACAAACAGCGGAGCAGGTGCTTATTTATTTTTCTGATAATGAACTGGCAAGGATAAATGAAACACTATTAAAACTACAAAGGATTGTAGGATTCTGATATAACAAAGGATCCATTCGGTTGATTTACTGTTAAGATAACAGCTGAAAGACTGTGATTCTGATAGGACCTGTAAATTGAACAAAATTGCCTGCAACATCGTCTAAAAAACCTCAGCCAACTTTCACTGTAATTAGGTCTTAAGTAAATTGCATTGATCATGCATACTATTTAAAAAAAAATTACTGTATGTTCAGAGAATGTTCCCCATTTTTTCAATTTGACTTAGTTTCACCAGGCTCGGTCGGTCCACAAAAAGATTTGTTGAGTTGCATAATGGAAAGGATCCAGTGATTTTGGAGCTTGACCTATTAAATTAAGCGAATCGTTTTTATCATATTATCACTAAAAGCAAGTTAGGCAAGAAGGACTGGACAATATTTCATAGTTGCAGGAACGGTGGTGCTTAGTTATGGATTAATAACACAACCAAAGCTTTTAACCCAGGTTTGCCTCGGTAGGTTGGCATGGACCCTCCATGGCATACTCCAGCCATGCCAGGCGCATGCATAATGTTTAATATCAAATGTTATGGTGGAACTATGGTTGTAAAATTATGCATTACAAACTCTGACAACTTACCACATTGCTGCCGACGTTTGTTTTGTGTAACGTTACATGTAGAAGTACGTTTTCAAGCGGTCCATCCATGGCACCGCCTCTTGTCTGTCATGTTCTTTATCCCTGCTTCATAACACTCAATGAGGGCACAGTCTGTCTGGATGGGTATAATATACAATTATTCTAGTTAAAAAGCACAAGATGTTTTTGTGTTCACTAGGTTATCAGAAAGCCTGGCAGACCCTGACATTTATTAGCAGAGGTTAATGACCTAATGACAGATTGTGTGGCACAACATGAAATGCCAGTTGGTTCATTAATAACCCATAAAATGTGTTATGGACACTATCCCAACAGTCAATAAAGATGAAAAATAAAGACGATTTAGATTTGTCAACGCTGTGAATGAGAAAACAGTTGTTGAAAGTATAACCCTCGATTTACCCATGTAGCTTATGTTTGTTTCATCCCTTAAATACTATACCTTTTTGTAACCACGGACTATACAATTTAATGATATGTAGCCTACTGTACATATATGACCACTCACATTATGGAAAACTGGCTATATTGTACCAGAATCATTGCTAATCGTTCTACATACAATTGTACTTAGTATCAATACTAGTTGCCAGGAAAACCTTGGTGTATATTAAAAACAAAATAAACAATAACTTTCTTTGTGTTGCCATATGAATTACAGCATATCCATGCGGCTAACAAGAACAAACAGCGGAGCAGGTGCTTATTTATTTTTCTGATAATGAACTGGCAAGGATAAATGAAACACTATTAAAACCACAAAGGATTGTAGGATTCTGATATAACAAAGGATCCATTCGGTTGATTTACTGTTAAGATAACAGCTGAAAGACTGTGATTCTGATAGGACCTGTAAATTGAACAAAATTGCCTGCAACATCGTCTAAAAAACCTCAGCCAACTTAATTAGGTCTTAAGTAAATTGCACTGTGATCATGCATAGGGCCTACTATTTCAAAACAAATTACTGTATTATTGTTCAGAGAATGTTCCCCATTTTTTCAATTTGACTTAGTTTCACCAGGCTCGGTCGGTCCACAAAAAGATTTGTTGAGTTGCATAATGGAAAGGATTCTGTGATTTTGGAGCTTGACCTATTAAATTAAGCGAATCGTTTTTATCATATTATCACTAAAAGCAAGTTAGGCAAGAAGGACTGGACAATATTGCATACAGTAGTTGCAGGAACGGTGGTGCTTAGTTATGGATTAATAACACAACCAAAGCTTTTAACCCAGGTTTGCCTCGGTAGGTTGGCATGGACCCTCCATGGCATACTCCAGCCATGCCAGGCGCACGCATAATGTTTAATATCTAATTTTATGGTGGAACTATGATTGTCAAATTATGCATTACAAACTCTGACAACTTACCACATTGCTGCCGACGTTTGTTTTGTGTAACGTTACATGTAGAAGTACGTTTTCAAGCGGTCCATCCATGGCACCGCCTCTTGTCTGTCAGACAGCGTCGAGGGCTGAATCGCACTGTAGGGGAAAAAGAAAACGAAGTTACGCTAGTAGCTTGTAGCCTAGCTATGGAACCCTGCTACAGACAAACCTAGCTGGCTCACACTTAGCGTCTACACTTAATTGGATACAAGCTAATTTACTAGAGATGGCAAACATAACTGGATCCAATGGTAAGCTCATGTGTGCATCAATAAGAGTTTAATAACGTTTGCTATGCTGAATGCTTTAGCTTGTTGCTAAGCTAGTTTGCTAACCTGCTGTCTTGGCTCCGTTGTGTAGCTAGTCGGCTAGTTAGCTGCTTCTATGCAAGCTATGCTAAAAGCAAAACAACATGAATGTAGTTCTGCCTATTAGGGAGTTGTTACTTGCTTGACATGCTTAGTTGACTGCAATACATGTATATGTGATCATACATGCGTGTGTTAATGTATGCCTTGGTACGAAATAGTAGCTGCATGGACGAAGACCAACATATCTATAACGTTTACCTTGCTATTTAGAGCTAACGTTAGCATAGCGGACGTAACCCATGTGCTAAACTGTTATTATTCATATTCAGAACAGCCATTTATTATGCTGTCAAAAGTTCCTTTAGCCTTGTAAATCGGAAAAAAAGATATAAATCCAACTCTTTGTGTTTCTGCAGGTCTATGATACTGTGCAGCCATGGGTGACATGAAAACCCCAGATTTTGATGATCTCCTGGCTGCCTTTGACATCCCAGATGCCACAGGGTTGGACGCTAAAGAGCCCATCCAGGAGAGTCATGAAGAAACAGAGAGTCAGCTGAAACACACAGAATTATGCCAGGATGACAGTTTTCTGGGTAACCAAGCTGTCGCAATAGCAGATATTCCTGTTGTTAGTGTTATTGTGAAAAACACAAGTCGCCAGGAGTCGTTGGAAGGATTTGAACCATCATTGCAAAATGGATTCAGGGGACAAGAGGCCGTCATAAACTTCCTTGAGACAACCAACGCTGGCTTTTCCAAATCATTTGTCTCTGCTTTGAATGGGGAAAGTTCAAGAGAGCTTCTTGGAAAGGCACCTGTTCAACACAAACCTGATGGAACACCAATATTTTCCCAGTCACTTTGTAATTTTAGTCCTATCTCCAGTCCTGAGTCTGAAGACACTCAGTGCAGTAGAAATGAAATGCATCCAAAACAAGACAGACCCTGTTTTCCAGAAGCCTCAGTTCTGGTGGAACCTTCGATCCCAGACAATCAACAAAAGCCGGACCTAAGTTTGTTTGATGAAAGTCTAAAGGACTACGATATTGACAAAAACACACCGAGTAGCAGAGAGGAAGGTAGTAGAACGGAGAAGTCCTCTGATATTTGTGTCAGTAACCAAACAGATAAAACAGACAAATTACACAGTACACTTCCCCCACCAAGTGGTGACCAGAACATCACAGAAACCAACTGCAGTCCAGGATCCACAATGGATGTTCCCACTTCTTTTCCACATGTCAAATCTCAGACACCCAAGTTATCCTCTTGCCTTGAGGCCCTGGTGGCTCTAAACAGTAGAAAAGATCCTAGTGAGCAGAATAACCCCAGAGAGTCATCAGCAATTCAGAATGACGTCATGAAAGCAAACCCCACTGTGCTTATAACCCCACAAAGTCCACTTGAAGCTGTGAAACGGTTAATGAAACCCTCTGATAGTCCTGTAAGCATCTGCAGTGATAGTAGTGGCAAAGCATCCCCTGCAGTGACAACTGGGTCCCCCCCTGCCATACCCAGGGTCAGAATTAAAACCATTAAAACTACATCCGGGCAGATCAAGCGCACAGTCACTAGTGTGGTGCCTGATTCAGAAACAGATGAAGTTCATTCAGCATTTGAATCCTCTCCATCACATAGTATGATAAGTGAAGATTCTTTCTGTAATATGTCTCCTCATCAACCTCAAGGTGCGTCTATTGATAGTGTTGTAGGTGTGCAAACTAAAGGTACCCCAGCTAGTACATCTGCACCAAAGGTTTTACGCAACAAGCCAGAGGTTAACTCCAGGAAGTCGGGCGTAACGCAGCGTGCAACCGTTTTCCATAATACTAGTGGTCCTGTCAAACGATCGGCTGCACACCAGGGGCCGAAAACAAAGAGAGGAGCAGCCACAACGGGCCCTACAGCAACTACCAACTTCCTTCCCAAAGCAATGCACTTGGCTAGCCTGAACCTTGTCCCTCACAGTGTTGCTGCTTCTGTAGCTGCACGGTCCACCTCTCATCAACAATGCCAACCCACACTCTCTCCTACGGTGTACAGCACTGTGCCTCTGGTGCATCAGATCAAATCAGCCAACTCTTATCCTCGCACATCTGCTCCCAACACAGCTGCAGGAACCTTAAACAGACTGTTGAACAATGCCAACCCTGTGCCTACATATGTTCCCAACCTGAACCCCCCTCCAGAGAGCAATATCAGCCTTCCACCTCGGGGATACTGCTGCCTTGAGTGCGGAGACTCCTTCGGGGTGGAGAGGAGTCTTGCGTATCATTACAGCAGGAGGAGTGTTCACATTGAAGTAGGATGTACTCACTGTGCAAAGACAATAGTGTTCTTCAACAAGTGTGCCCTGTTGGCACATGCACGGGAACACAAGAACAATGGCACGGTGATGCAGTGCACGCAGCTCCATATGAAACCCATCGCAGAGGAACACATGTTTGTACCCCTGAGTGCTGTGAATGTGGACTCTTACACTTTACCCTCCCCTAAAAACCAACCTGTCCTGCCCCTATACCAAGACAATGTTATTCGCCACAGACTCCGTTGCCTGGAGTGTAACAAGCAGTTATCTGACTACAAAGCACTAGCTGGCCATTACCAGAGGCCTTCTGAGGACGTGGAAGGACTCGTAAGTGAATGCGTTCTTAAATTATTAAAGAATGTTTTTGTTATTCTAAAGAAATCTGTGACACTCAACCCAAGCCCATTATATCGTACTGAACCTTGATAAACATAGTCTTGGGTCTTGTTGACAAAAGAAAAATATAGAATATCACCAGACTTTTATTTTTCATGGCACTTTTACTAGTATTTATGTATTTTATGTATTTTCCAATGTTTTCATAACTCTTTGACTTTTGTCTTTTCAGACGTGTAAGGTGTGCTCAATGTTGTTACCCAACAAGTGCAGCTTCAGAGCTCACCAACGCATTCACGCTCACAAATCGCCTTACTGCTGTCCTGAATGTGGTGCCCTGAGTCGTTCTGCAGACATACAGAAACACGTCAAGGAGAACTGTCTGCACTACGCCCGCAAGGCTTGGTACAAGTAAGTAAGAAAGCATAAAATGCACGCCTTCTAACATACTTTGAAGTGTTACACAAAAGTTGCATCTTGTTTCTTCTTCCTTCAGATGTCTTCACTGCGATATGGTTTTCAAGACCATTCAAGGACAAAAGACTCACATTGAGGAGAAACACTGTGACGTCTTTTACAAATGCTCAATCTGTCCAGTTGCTTTCAAGACGTCTGACGGCTGTGAAGTGCATTTAAAAAATAAACACAGTGCAAGCAAAATATCCCCTGTGTAAGTCAAAACCTTATCACCTGACAATTAAAAGTTGTATATCTCTTTTATCTGGTCATTTTAACCATTTCCCCCCCCCCTTCATTGCAGGTTAATTTTTAAGTGTTCATGTGAGACGGTCTTCAAGAAAAAGCAGTTACTATTACAGCATTTCCATCAAAATGCCAACAAGCGTGTTACGTGTGTCTTCAAGTGTCCAGAATGCAACTCGGTCTTTCCACAAAAGCAGCTGTTAATGCAGCACTTCAAGGTTAGCCCGGATTGTATTTGATATTGAGAGTGTTGGGAATTTATACATGTAATAGGTTACTTAAATGAAACTGGCTACTCTTACTTCTACTCTTCTGAATTGTTTGTTGAAACTGTGACGTCCAACCTGAGCCTTTGGAAGAATTGTTAAACTTGCCTAACTTGTGTTGTGCAATGTTAGATTGTTATCTAGATTTTTATCTGCAAAGCCGTGCAAACGATGCAGAAAAAATCAGCATTGTTAAATGTGTGTTCATACTGGCAAAAGAGAAGTCAAATGTTGTTGAGTCAATGTTAGGACAGGAAATAGTAGTATTTTGCTATAATTTAAAATCTCTTGTGTTTTCTTTGTCTTGCAGGGTGTTCATGTAGGAAACATGACAGAAGAGACAGAGAAGATCAGTACAAAAACAGACAATCCTGACTGGTCCCAGGATGATCATTCAGTACAAGAAAAGAAAAGTCACAATCCTGTTAAACACACAGACAGTCCCAGAAAAAAACCTGAGCAGGACAGGAAAGCTCGTGTGAAGCCCACCGGCTGGACGTGTGGCGAGTGCCTGAAGTGGTTCCCTGAACGAGAGTCCTATGTTTCCCACGTGAAGACCAACCACAGAAAGGTGAGGTCAGGTTCCACTGTGCTGGAAAGTAAAACCAACACAATAATGACTGCAGCATTCACTATAATATCATAATAAAACAGTCTGAACGTGGTGGCTAACTCAACTGCAACTTAAATTATCTTAAACTTCAACATAACACCGATTTGTCCAGATCAAACTACTGACAATTGCAGCAATCAATGTAGTATTGAAAATGGATATTATAGCCCGAAGCTTTTGTGCTGTTTTCTTAATGTCAAACAACCACTGACTTGTTGTAGTCCACCTGAAAATGATTTTACCATTAACCAGATCAATAGTTTGGGTGGTATTTGCCATTAGTCGACCTTATCTGAAACACCTTGGCAAACGGCTGTCCAGTGACATGAGGAAACGGTTGAGAGGACAGTGAGCCGTGTATCTGAGGTCAAAGTGCGTGCTGATTAAATGAACTGAAGCTTCTTGCCATGGGACAAACTGCTGACGTCTTGATTCTTGTGTAAACTTCATTTGTTTCCTGTTTGTAATTCTAAGCTACATGACATGATAATTATGACATTGCCTGACATTATAATTGGTTATATTTGCC